ATCGAACGTAGAAATCCAGAAATTATTTACACCAACCAGCCAAACTCTAACTAAATGAAAAATATATATAAAAACCCAATTAACGGTTTAACATTAAATACAATTTGAAATCATTTAAGTATCCGTACATAGCAAAAACACAAAAAAAAAAACATAGTAAATTTTTTAATTAGTAAATTATTTTGAAAACTTAACCCAAAAAATGTACTTGTTGCTACACTGATTCAAAACTATTTGAATATTTCAACTGTTGTTTATACATAGCGTATCGTAAAGAGAATTTATAAACAAACAAAAAAAATAAATAAATAAAAAAATATGGGAACAAGTTAGTGCGCATAGTAAATCTTCAGAAAGGATTAAAAAGAAATTATTTACGATTGCTGATGTATGTATGCGTTGATGCATAAGTTGATAAATAAAATAGTAATAGAAGTAAGCAGGCGAGTCAAACATGGACAACTAAATACCTAAACTCAGATTACCAGAAACGAACAACAGAGAAAAAAAATTTAAACACAACTAGTTTAGCAGTAAAATAAAATTGAAATAAAAAGTGAGAACAAAATATATTAAACAACAATTTTTTATTGCCTTCTATTTAAATTATTTTTCTGATTAATGTGAAACAGAAACAGAAACAGAGAAAAAACTTGTTTGAGTGTTGCTCTAGCCAGACATCGAACCTTGGTCCTACCGTGTGGAAATACGCACATCTAACTCGACTACAGCGTCCGCCAAGAAACTATTTGCATAAGACTATTGATAAAAATTTATCATTGATAAAAATTTATCAATAGATCGATAAAAATCTCGGTAACGTAATACGCAAGCACCAATGTGAGGGAAAAGAATCTCTCCACTAGAAAAATTTTAATGGAATATGTTTAATTGAATATGTACATAATTAATTTTTTTGTCGACTAAAATTGGACCTGGGGCCTATTTCACAAAAGTGACTGGTGCGACAATTGTCGATTTTTTTTTATAAAATATTACTGCCAGAATTGTTGGCGACATTTGTTCTGCTTCATATACGCTTGTAGGAAACTGTGAACATTTTTGGAAAACGACAGTGATATTATGGACTATTGGCGACAATTGTGCTGACAATTGTCACTGTGACAAAATTGTTGTGACAATAGCGACAAAACCAAATAGCTCCGTTGGGAAGCTTTCACAGGAGAGTTTTGCAAATTTACTTATATGGTATTTGCGCGCATATCATTACTTTTCAATAATTTGAATTTTTCTTAACCAGTTCTTGCCAGCTACTGTCGGAATTCGACCGGCTCTCTAGTGTTTTTAAATAATTTATTTGAATTACAGTTTAAGGCTGACAATTTCTCAATAAACCATGTTTTTTATGAAAACTTTTTGATAATTAGACAAATTACACAAGCCTGAAGCATTTTCCAACCAATTTTGAAACCTCAAAAACACTCCTGGTATATGCAGTAACAAAAACCACGAAGTAAACCCAAATGTGGTCCAAAAATGTATGAGAAAATGTGAGGTCGGAATTTTTATGCTCTCACCCTCTAGGATTCTTTTATACCTAAAAAAGTATACACCTGTTTTTTTTTTATATTTTGAAATCAAAAAATATTTCCATGTGTTTTTATATGGGGAAAACACCACTTTTCGTAGAAATGGTATAGAATTCTCAAAAATTAATATGTTTCGATCGATCAATTGGATCAATTGGGTATTGTTATTGAATGTCTCCTGAAGAAAACCAGAGCTTTCCGATCGAAAAATATTAATTTTCAAGAATTCTATATCATTTCTACGAAAACTTGTTTTTTCTCCATATAAAAATTCATGGAAAACTTTGAGCGCTTTGAGCGACCTCTAAAAATTTTTTTATTACAAAATAACAAAATGGGGGTATATTTTTTTTCGAAATAGTACAATCCTAGGGGGTGAGAGCATTATAATTCCGACTTTACTACCCTACTGGGCACACTCCAAAAGTGAAGCTTCCCTCGACTCATTTCTAGTTCGCTTCATATTGCAGAAATTTGTGCCGTCGAAGTGAATGCCTAATTCTAGCCTGACTTCCTTCGTCCAGGTGTTGAAGAGAGTCGCCGTTGATTACGTTGGGGAGATTGTTACGGTCCTTGCAGTGAAGAAACAAGAAAGGCTGGAGTGATATCCATCTCCGTCTTCAGTTTCGCTTTCTTATTTTCCTTCGTATTCGTAGTCGTCTTCGTATTCTTTCTTGCATTCGTATTCGTTTTTGTATTCGTAGTTGTCTTTGTCTTTGTATTGGCCTTTACAGTCGTCTTCAAATTCGT